TTTTTTTCATTTTTCATTATTATTTTTTATACAAACATCGTATATGTTTCTTGTCTTCCATATGTATTCTCAAAACAAGAAGTACATTTTAACTATCAGTTGCTCTTGTCTTGATAAACAAATAACACTGACATCTGACGGCTAGTATCACGATGCCAGTTTTCCGACTGGTAAAAAAGTTGCCAGGTTAGATTTTAATGAAACTTGATAGTCAATTTTCTCATGCGAAAAGCCACCTTCCATTGACGTGAATAAGTTGCACAGTTTCTGTGACATGAGATATCTAAAAATGTTAGTGTTGCTATGGCCAAAAAGTGACCAGTTGGCTGACTTCGTCGAGATCTACCTCATTCATTGCTTCTTACTTCTGAATATCTTCCTACGCGCAGCCAGTGTATGACTGGTAAAAAAGTCGCAAACTCGAAAATTCGAAAACTCTAAAAGTCGCAAACTCGAAAAGTCGAAAACTCTAAAAGTCGCAAACTCGAAAAGTCGAAAACTCTAAAAGTCGAAAAGTCGAAATATCCAATAGGGGCCACCATAGTATAACCAATAGTTAAAATATAAACCTGGAGAGTGAAAATGTTGAATCGACTGGATCTGGAAAATTGATCTTCCAAATATAAAAATAAGGTTCATGTCAACAAGAAGTCAAAAGTTGTTACAAATGGTCTGAAATGCAAAAAAAATAAATAAATAAATAAATAAATAAAATAAATAAATAAAAAAAGAATTTTATGTATAAATTTGACAAAAATATGTCAAAGTTATACATAACCAGTATTATATAATGAACAGCAGTGATTCTATAACCAAGTTTGGCAACTGGATTCAAACATGTTTATTGATTCATTCAATTTGCTTCTCTGCTACGTATAAATATTGGCACTTTAAAAATATTGGCACTTACCACAGCTGCTGCTTAAGTTCACCAAAGTGAGATCAATGTTAACCACAGGATTCTTACTATGCCAACACATGAATTCAACCATACTAGACTGTCAAATTGGCACAAAATCATGAAATCTGAATTTTTAAATAACAAATAAGTACACTTTCAATAAACCTACAAAAATGTTAATGCCTCAAACATAGAGCACAGTAAAACCTACATCATTCTCAAAGGTCACAATAATAATATATCTATGTTTATATGTTTAACCAATGCAACACATATTGCAATAAACTATCAAAATCTTGCTCAATTTCCAACTTTAAAAGTAATTCTACTAATATTGATCTTTTATTAAGACAGTTTCATTGCAATAACATGTAGCAGGGGATTAAGTGTATTAATTAACCTTATATATAATTTTATGAAATATGTTGTTGCCAGACAAATACTTCTTTTAAGAAATCTCATGAACAAATACTTCATAGAATAATTCATACTCTTACGACTGTCATTTCTTTATCTTACTTTTGATTACATAAATACACTTTGTGTTTTTTTTCATGCAATACAGTAAAAACAAGACTGCATTAAAGAACCTAAAATTTTGCAAGCTGGTCTGAATAAGTATAAAATACAATTATTGTAATAGTGTTTTATGTGATTAGAATCGTATCTTTATGCATAATTCTTATGTATCAAGTTCTTATCACTTGGACTTCAGATGGTCACAATTTTATTTTCATTCTGTTACATGTTCATGTCACAAATGTACCTTTAGAAAGTACAAAGCAACTTAAATTACTTTGCCCTCATATTTACCACACCCTACCATCAGCATATGCTGGGTTTGCCAACATGTATGCATGTCTTGCCTGGGATGTGGCATAGCTAGTTTGAATCAAAGTCCTGTGTTCCCTCTCAGCAGCCCTCCTCTCCTGAATACGTCTCTCCATGTCCAGTCTGGAAATACAGAGCAAAACATTTACCACATTTTTATATTACCTTCAAACAATTATATCAGTTCATACTTGATATGAGAAAACAAGAAAATGAGGACATTGATTCCCAGTCTCAGATATTCCTGTTTAAATAAGAACCATATGAGGACTTGTCAAAAGGGTGAACAACACCCAAACCTACCTTGCCACTTTCTCAGCTTCAGTATTGGCTTGGTCATCAATCTTCACTGCAACTCTGCTAAGCATGAAGGCCTGGCCAAATACCAATGCCTGAATGGTAGAAAAAAAGTCAAGATTAAACGTGCTAAGGAATCTCTCTCTCTCTCTCTCTCTCTCTCTCTCTCTCTCTCTCTCTCTCTCTCCAAGTATGTCAGTGTAAAACATCAATTACCATTGTTTTATAATCTAAAATGTACAGATCAAAGAGTAGACTATAAAAAGCCACTTAATATTTTTTTTTACCTCTCCACTGTTGAAAAACTTCTCTGCTCTTTCCACTGAAACCTTATCAGCCAGCAGTACCCATGCTAGTCCGTTATTCTTTCTATTTATAGGATCCTTAAAAACAATGCATGGCATAATAAGGAATGTATAAATAATACTGCTTGCCTATACTGACATTATGTTATTATAATAATATTTTTTGATTAAAAATTGACATTCAAATATGCAGAAGAAAAGTGATTAAATGTGAATTAATGTATGGAATCATCAACTAGGTTCAGAATGCTGGTTCAATCTTTACAACATCCCAGCTACACAAATAAAAATAATGCAACTCCAGTCAGAGTGAATCCGTTAGTACATTCACTGTTCCAGAAATGTTACCTTCATGAGGCAGACCTCCTGCACTTCACAGTCAGCCTCCATCTCCAGAATCCCCTCCATCTTCTGGACTGTGATACTGGCTGGGAGCTGGCTCATATACACTGCAGTATCTCTGTGGTCAGCAATCTACAAATTCAGAATTGTGACTTCAGAAATTATCACATCAGATCAAATACTGCAAAAAGGTTTTCATACCATAACAAAGAAAAAAAAAAATTAAAAATTCAACTTAAAAATTTAAAATTTTGTTTTGCAAATGACCCTGCACTCAAGAAAAATATCATCATTAAAAAAAATTAACAACTTTATTCTATTTGAAAATTGTGAAAAAGTTATCAAAATCAATAAGAACTGCTTTTTCAATCCACTTAACAAGATTCTTTGCTCAAAATAAATATGTTTTAAAATACTGTAAAATAGTATGTAAACATAACACAATGACCACACAAAAATATTAATAATAAATAAAGATAATATTCTAACCTGCAACCATGATGGGGCTTCTTTATCTGCTCCAATAATCATATTCCACTCATCACTGGACAGTAAACACTCTGGTGAATCTAGGTGGAAATGAATAATAAAATGATTTTGATGCAGGGACAAAAACAGTCCGTTTTTCAAAAATTAATTATCATTTCTCATACTTCACATTATTAAGCTGCAGGGCACATCAGATTCTATTACTAAAATAATTCTAAAAGCAACATGTATACTTACATGTTGTTATCTTGTTTCTTTTTCACCTATATTATACTCTTTTGGCCATTTTGTTGTCAAGATTGCAATATTGAATGAAACAATGCAATGCAAGTATAAAGTATAAACAGCATAGCCAGGGAGAAAACTGGAAAACTTACCATAACCTTTGAATGCAGAGGCTAGTTGCAAAGCATGATGAAAAGATAAATGTGGCAATTTCTTCTTCTTATAGTCTGTGGATATTGCTGAACAGTCCAACATGCTTCCCATGTGCCCTGAATAATGGTTATATGTACAAGAGTTTAAAAAGTTTTTTTTTTACATTCTTATCGTAAAATTTAGAAAATAACAGCTCAAAGATTTTGTACACCATACTAAACCCATGCATCTTCTTAACAACAATGCTATGTATGCTTTGTTTTATACAACAATTTAAAACCATCAAACAGATGGTCAAACATGAGGGTTTACCCTGTATTCCATTTTAAATTTTGCCTATTTTTCCAAAATGATATCCATAAATGGTAAACATATTTGTTATATTCTAGTACCTGTGTTACCCCCCAGGTTGTTGAGCTGCACCACAGTATAGGGTCCCACATTTACTTTAGGCAGGTCACTGCATGCTTCCACCACAGCTTCTCCTGATCCCTGCACCGTCAGACCTGGAAATAACATTAGTATCACTATTAAGTGTATATGGTATAACCTGTCAGCATACAAATAATACACTTGTATTAAAAATTTAGAAAAAAAAACAACGACAAAATTTTTTCAATTTCCAAATGAGCAGAAAACAGATGTGGAGAGTATCATCTGGAAAAGACCTTTAGCGAATGCCACATTAAAGATTAAACACTGGCACAGTAGACACAGACATTGCATTCTCACCTAGAGCCTGTGCCAGTGAAGTGAGCACCTCGTCCATCTCCTCCTCCTCACATGACTTGGATTGGCTGTTCAGGTGTAAGCTGGTCAAGCTAGTCTTTCCAACGCAGCCAACCAAGGCCTTAACACCTTGGTGATCTGAAAAAGTATACACAGAATTTATTTTTCTTTTGGCATTGGAGATTAAGTTTTAAAATGTTGTCTGAAGTTTCAGCAGTTGCACAAAAAAAATATCTTTCTAATTCATTATTGTTCTTTAAAATATATCTTTAAAAATATCTAAATTCCTATTCCTTTATAAGATAATCAGCACAGCTGCTATTCCACAATCTTTAAAGTTATCAAGTTAAAAATTTTGTAACACTCCAAATAGTATGCACACCTATGTTATTGTTGCTTAGGTTGAGTGAGTGGATATTTGTCTGGTGTGAACTTGAGGTGAAAAGTTCACAAAACTTCATTGCTCCAGCTGAACTGATCTGTAAACATAAAGTGAAAAAGAAAACCCTAAAGGATTATAAAATCACCTCAATGGTACATTTACAATTTACTGTCTTTCAATTAATTACAAATACATGTACATGCTTGACATGAATTATGCTTGAACCTTTTTTTGTCTCAAATATACCATCAATCTGATCTAACAAAGCAATTTTCTTATTTTCCAATTTACTATAACATACAGAAATTGATTAACACAAAATATTCCAGCAAAACAGATGTTAGAAATCATCCAAATAAACATTAGTCTTACCACAAACCCATTTCAAACAACACCCATCATCTCATGCTTTTTACCTGATTAACAGAGGCATCAATGAGTGCCAGTGGATGAGTTGTCTGCGACACCAAAGCACCCACCATGTCCTCCACAAATGCATCAGAGAACCTGTTGTTAGACAACTTGAGCATGTGT